TCAAGTTTAGCGCAAATACGCGCGATCTCACGAGCAAGTCCGGCGCTTTGCTATCTGGCTTTTATTAAAACATGCCTAAATATGAGCCTAAATATGTTGCCAAAGAGTTGCCTACGCCTGTTCTAAAACTCCATTCCTAGGTGTATGCGAAAGCTGACTTTCTATGCGTTTTTTGCAGCTATGCAATGCGGAAAACGCATATTGACGAGAGGTTTGTGTGTGTGTGTGTGTGTTTGTGTGTCTGTGTCTGTATGTGCCCTGGGCCTCCGTACCGATTTTTCATCTCAAGACCTACAAAAGCTACAGGACTGAAACTTTGGGGACTTAATCTACATGCACGTACGGGCTCCCATTCTCAAAATGGGCGGCCTTTCTCACGTGGTACCCACGTAAGAGCCCACTAATGTTTTTTACGGGTAAGCTGCTAACTCGTGAACCAAAAAAGCTAGAGGGCTGAAATTTTATGGGAATGCTTCCCGTCCAAATAGGTGCTAATGGGCTCAAATCCTGCTTCCGGGTGAATGTGGTACCCGCGTACGTGCTCGCCAAAATTTTTCCTGGGTATTTTCATAACTCGGGGATCTGAGATGCTAGAAAGCTGTAACATTAAGAGGGTGTTCCCCGTCCAAATTAATCCCAGCGAAGTCAAATCAAGCCCTCGGTCATGCGCAGTACCTACGCACCGGTTTACCAAAGTTTTTCTCGGGTAAGTTCATAACTCGAGGACCTAAAGAGCTAAAAGACTGTAGTTTTAGGAAGATGTTCCACGCCCAAGTAAGTCTCAACGAGCTCAGACTCAGACATCGAGTATGCGTGGTACCCGCGTGCGGGCTCGCGACAAATTTTTTCCAGCAAGTTGCTAATTCAGGAGCCAGAAAAGCTAGAAAGCTGAAATTTTAAGTGGGTGCTTCCTGCCAGTTCTGGCGGCCAGCCTTAGTTTTTTTAGCTAGAAGCGCTTGCCGAAAAAGCCGATGTCGGTAGGGACAAAAACTGCGGGGGACTACGCGAACAACGCATTTTCGCGAGGACAGTCCGTGCGTTGGCCAATTATCAAATTTAGGGGTCAAGCATTGGCGGGGAACAATTTCATAAAATTTCGGCTTCCTGGTTCCTCTTCTACTCTGTCAATTCTGGCGCCAAACCTTTCGCATAGATTTTGCAGCAAAAGCGCATGACTGAATTCGCTGCCAGACCGCTCCAGGTGCCATCTACGCGCAGGACCAAAAATCTCAAAAATTCGAAAAAAACTCAACTTTCGGATGTCACCTGAAAATTCGGTCAGCGAATACTCGGAAAAAATGCAATTCAGGAAACCGGTTGGTCGGAATTGTAGTATCTGAACTTGGTCCCACAAAAAACCGCAAACAGCTGCGGGATGTTGCATATTCTGAAACGCGACTTTTGCTCTACCACAAATCCGGGACAAGTGCAAGCCTGCAGCTCTGGGAAGCCTATTTTATTTTCCATGTCGAGACGTTACATCCTGCATGCAAATCACTTGTCAATTGACCGAGGATTAACTGGGCGCACAAAATCTTGCAGTATCAATCTGCACAACGAGAAGTGGACGGGGAAAACAGGTAACTTTATTTCAGTTATTCACAAAGAACAAGGTTCAGAATGCACAGAGTGATATGAAATTTGGTTATCAAAACAAGTAAAGTTGAAAAAAATCACAATAATTATCATAATTTGTACAGAAACAACAACAGCAGCGCAAAAGTTCGTCCAGTCTTACTATCCGGAAATCTAGAGAAAAAATTGCAGCACTAGTCTGAAAACGTTTCCCCCAATGTTGCCCCTAAGAAACTACTTTTTTGCAGCTGTTCCTATTGTTATTACTACTGCATTTCTTTGTGAAAATTAGTGTATAAAACCGCCTTCTATCGACGGGTTTGCCAGTGGGTGAGTGCTGCCGCTCAAAAAGTTGTAGCTACAGGGCTTCTAAAGTGAAACACAATGAGCATTGTGAATGGTATTTCGTTGCAAATTTCATACCCTTACATACTCTAACTGCAAAATTTTAACAGTGGCTGAAAGTATACCTGTCATTACAAAAAGACTGTCACAAGGGATGCTGCACAAAGTTATACAGATTTGATGAACTGAATCAGAAAACGGGGCTGTCATCAACAATCCCCATGTCCACATCCTGTTCTTCCTGAAATGATGTATTTTGTTCATGCCCCAATTAAATGAATTCGGTAAAAACTCGAATGCCAGCTTCTACTGGAAAGTATTCACAGAAAACATAGCTGGGGTGGGCCAATTCCGCCCATATTTCAGAAAATGGTGCCTGGACAGGATAAAGACAAAAAAAAAAAAAAAAAAAAAAAAA